ATCTGGTTACTTTTCTTGCACCGGTGATCACAATGCGATCAACAGTCACCACCATGTGGTCGAAGACGACGCGATCCGCACGTCTGACTTGATGCATACAAGTCGAACGCGGGAAAAGTTCGGCTATCAGTAACTTGAACACGTTACGTGTACGTCAGCCGAAGGTTTGGGAACAAGTCGTGTTCGACAAGAAGCCCCTTCGGTGTGTGTGACACCTCTTGAAGGGCCTTTAAAGCCATGTCACCACCGCTCGCATGCTGAGACTACAGCCATAGACATTCCAGCATCGACATAGCCGCGCGGGCAAGGACAGGACCTCGCGTGAAAGAGACAGGTGCGGATGTTGTAGTGTATCAACATGAGAGCGAGCACACAGCATACATGTCGTTCTGACTACTACGTGTTGATGAGGTGCACGAACAGCTTCCACGGCATCTTCCCGCTGGTCGTCTGGTTGATCTGAGTCTTGCTGACCTTCTCTGGCTTCTCGTGGAATCGTTGGCTGCGCGGATGAAGTGGAGAACCCATTACAGTTGCGCCTGAACGACCGTCGGACATTCATGACATATGTTTTGATCTCTGATGCTCAAAGTGAGGACATCGACTGACAACCTCTCGAATGGACTCTTTGGACGCATCTTGAGGCTCAATCGCTCCGAGAAGATGTCATCGTCCATTCAAGTGTTCTACTCGAGAGAAGTCTGGTGCTTTGTAAAACAATACAAGGCACTGCTCATTCACTGGCAGCTACGAAAACAATACACTAGTAAAAGCTCTACAACCTCATGTCCTACGTCGTGCCTCAACAGCCTTTTTTGTCGTGCAACTTGTCCTCAACAAACTAGACATGTGATCGTTCCTACGTCATACCTGTCATGATCTACGATCGCTAGCGTCGCGATGAAGGCGGTTCGTGGCTGAGGATGTAGTACCACGAGTGTGTGCGATTCCATCAGAACAAAGTCCGCGATAGCTGCACTGCTTCGTCGGGAGCGAACTGCTGCAACATACCCGATACTACCCCGATACTACTCACGGGAGTTGAGGCGCATACAACGGATTGACCATAGGTGCGTTTTCGCGCAGCTGGCACGTTACCTAAAGCACCAGCAAATTTGTACTTTCCTCGACAGAACAAACGATGGAGAGATCTGTTCCTGCGGAGAATAGTCATTGGGAGGGCATCCCGTAGTTCTATCGCATTCGAAACGTTCTGCTGCGCGGGAAGAAAAGCTGGCGCGACTCTCATCGATGCTGTTCAGAACGTCAGAGACCAGTAAAAGTGCGTATGTTATGGCATAAATGGTGCTACGGTGGAGGTAGAGCGAGCGTCTGAGGGATCCCAGTTTCGCCAGTGGGAAAGACCGAATAGCGGTGAGACAGGATATGCAAATAGCCAGGTATGAAATGACCGTACAGTACAGAGATAGGATATGCAAATAGCCAGGCACCGAATATCCGTACAGTACAGAGACAGGATATGCAAATAGCCGGGCACCCATCGATACAAAGTGCACGTGCTGTGGAATCCTGATGCCCGGATCCCTCGTGCTGCTGCGCTGTTGAAGTGCTTCTAGCCCTGATCTTCCCCTCAACTGACTCGCTCCTCTCTGGTCGCCTCTCTGTTCATTCAATCGACGCAAAATTTCCGCGCAAGTAGTAGAACTACCGCGTCTCAAACTTTACCATAGTGGATTCGCTTCATACTGAGAACATGATGGCTTCAAGCTTAAGAAAAAATTTAAATGAGAAATTCGTAGTTTGCGCTTGCGCTGAAGTGTCTGTCTTACCGGCTCGTTAAACACGGTGATCCCACATCACAGGGAGAGGGAGAGGCTAATATTATGGCATATATGGTGCTACGGTGGAGGTAGAGCGAGCGTCTAAGGGATCCCAGCTTCACCAGTGGGAAAGACCAAATAGCACAGAGACAGGATATGCAAACAGCCGGGCACCGCCGATACAAAGCGCAAGTGCTGTGGAATCCGAAGCCTCTATTACTCCTGGACTTCAAGCTGCACAAGCACGTTTTGCCCGGATCTTCCCGGATTGCTCTCTGGTCGATTAGATCCGTGCTGACCACTTCCATTTTACAAACACGAGCACAGTGTAATGGACGAGACTGAATTTGAGTCCACTTGCCACTTCTACCACCTGCCTGTACTTACGAAGCATACAAGAAGCAGCGATGCCACTCTGAACAATACAGTTGAACCACTTGGACACCACTGAAAGTGCTTTTTATGGCCCGGAAACTGCTACATCGATCAGGAGCAACAGCCTCCCTGTATCACGCGGCCGTGTGTGGAGGGACTTCAGGGTCCGTGACTAGAGGTGACACAGAAGCTCAGCGATACGAATGGCAAGTACAGCAGAACTCAGCTCGCCTGCCACTCGTTGATGAACTATTTGAGCAGCTTCTGCCTCGTGTTTCCGCTTCGCGTTCCCGTCCATCCGATCGACGCGCAGCTTGCTCGCTCAAGAAGCACAGGGTTACCGCGTCACGACCCGTACCATACTAACTTCCATATACAATAAATCATTTGTGCAACAAGTTGCAGCGCAGCGCTGTCAACTATGACCACAATTCCTTTTGCAGTCCAGCGCACAGTACCCGTTCTCGTCCATTTCCACCGCCATCCATGAAGCTCATCCACCTATTTGGACTACTCGTGAGCGCGTCGGTTTTCGTCGGGGCGGATATCGCTTGGGCCTCTGACGCGTCACCCGAGAAACTGAACTTCGAGTCCACCGAGGACCCGAAAAGTCATGGTCGTGGTCGGTTGCGTGGACCAGCAGAAGAGCGCATGGCTTCCCTGGAGCCACTCGCTGAGGGGACCGCGCGCATCGTGGGGAAAGTATTGCCAAAGATCGAGAGCATTGGCGCCAAGACAGTACCGAAGAAGGCGGGCCATATCACTGTACGTGCACGGTCGGGTGAGCATGTTCTGGACCTGAAAACGGTGGCTGCGCGTTTGGATTGGCTCATATTACGTAATACAGCAGTTGAGCGCTTGGCCCTGAACATTCTAAATGAAACCAAGGAAAAGCTTCAACGACTTTCTTTGGATGCCAGAGTACGCGAGGCGAAAGCAGGCGAGCGGGACATTGAATCACAAATGGAGCTTTTGACTATACGTCTACTGGCAAAATTATCGGAGCCAAGGACGTAAGAAAAGCGCCGCCTGCTCTTCCAAGTAAGCTCTAAGTGACTCGAGAGTAAGCTACTGCGACGTCTGTGATGGCAAACGACGCCTGAGCCTTTGTTTAGCAAACGCATGTCCTGGGTCAGAACATCCAGCGGGAGTAGCAGCAGCTAGATGAAGATTAAGAGTTCAACCCTACTCTGAAGACGCTCTCGCGATTACGTCTCATGAGCCACTTCCTCTACATACCATGAAACGCTCGTACTAGTAATATAGCTCGCGTTCGTTGTTTGCCTTCTGTTCTTGTCTTTCTCACTGGTGAGTCAGCGGTGGTGTATGAATGATGTCGTGTCGCTCGGCGCAGACTCTGATAGTAAGAGAGAGTGGTAGCTGATGTCAACACGAGACCCTGCATACCCACGGCACACGTTCAGTTCATTTCGTGCATGCTTTGTCTCAAGAACCTGTAAACAGAAACCCTTAGTGCCCGCGCGAATCGATTGAATTCGGTGACATCAGTCGAGCGTCAACTAATGTCAACTCATCGCCGCGAGCTCAGCGGCGCCAGTGGAAAGCAAGTGCCACGATGCACCCACACGTTTGTCTCGACGTAAATGGCCAACTCGCTCTCTTCATCACATCAATGCCTTTGCACTCTCCATGAAAGAGGACGCCCGTCGAGATGCAGTCTTCTCGTGCGTGACATACATGCAGCAAGAAGCCCGAAGAGTTTGGCACGAAATAGAAGTGCAAACACGTCGATGTTGAGTGCAAAGCCTGTCCGGTCATCCACTTGGACTTCAAGCTCACGCATGGGAAGAGGTTGTCATGGGCCGTAAGAAGTCGTGCTTTGCTCGCTATTTCTTTTTGCGTGACACAACACTAAAGTAGCAGCAGGCAGAGCTCCAGCTGTCGACCGGTGGCCAAAGGGATGGAAAGCTAGAGAGCGTACTTCAGGACGAGCTAGAGTTGGGGACGTTATAGAACAAGAGAGAGAGAGATGACGACAACGACGTCGAGGACGTTGCCAGGGACGACAAGTGTTGGGGGAGATCGCTGTATAAGACGATAGGATTTGGTGACGACACTGACGAAGCAGTTGTCGATCCAAAACGATCGTACCGATACAGGTAGAAGTAGCACATTCTGGAAGCACTGGATATGTGGATAGTCGACGAATGAGGACTTGACAGGAGCTGCGGTATATCACGAAAAATAGCTACTGTCGCACCAAGCCATTGGCGTTCCTGGAGGTTGGCACCGACGATAAGAGACAGTGCTGCGTTGTTGACATGGGTCGTGCTGCTACCGCTGAGGCTCTCATTGGATAACATGACGTGCGTGTGGGCTACTTGCGACTTGCATGCAGTTTGTCCACAAGCTGTCGCTATTAACTGTCAGACTGCAGATTGTCCTAAGCTGACACTCGATCGTGTCACGAACGATCACGTGCTGTTAAGGCACAAGAGGCTTATGGATGCAGCAGAGTCAAGGAGCGACCGCAGGACACTGATGTGCGAGTGTCTGAACATGTGGCAGGAGGTCCGCGAAAGAGCTCGTGGCCACTCTGGCCCCGTTGTCAACCACCAGGTCTGTAAAGGGCTCACCCCATTACATAAAAATTGATACGAATGTATCATTTTTAGAATGCTATCGATTTTGATAATATTACATCAACACCACTCGAGAAGAGGTGATGTTGGGGGAATATCAACCCCGAGGGTAATATTCTTGGGTGCTCCACTTCTTGGTTGATGTACCGTGTACATCAGCCAAATTAACCACCAATCGCTGCTGGACGTGCGCAATGGGTGGTGAGCAAGAAACCCACATTGGAGATAAAAGTTTAATATAGTTAGATCAAGACGAAAGTTGGTTTAGAAAGAAACATTACTATATTAAAAACAGTTCTACTTTTACCCTTAGACCTAGCTTTCGAGCTCTGTTTCCTTCATTGTGCTTCCTCACGCTACGTGAACGTGACGTCGGGAGTACTCAGCCGTGTGTTCAGCAACACAAGGTCTTACCAGTTATCTGGTAAGGGCGTGCCCCGTTACACCTGTTCGCACTGTGTAGTCCTTCCAGCAACCACAACCACCTCATTTGACATGAACATGTTGGATGAGGAGGAGAGCTTTCACGGCACGCGAAAAGGCTTTAACCGTTTGAGTGACATCGAATGGAGTGCGGTAGAACGAATGAGTTCTACCGCAGGCGAGTTCGCCATTAGCGCCATGTTGGAGTCTCTAGACAGAGACCAACAACATGCCGCTATAGCCGAGTTCATCCAAAGTGAACTTGTCGCCGAAAGGGAGAAAGTAGCCTTGCTTCACCAGCAAGGCTCTCAATAGACCGAGTAGTTGAGAGAACTCGGTGCTCAACAGACAGAGATGTTGAGACAGCAGCAATACAATGCTGCTGTAGGTGGGAATACATACACGCGTCGTCTCGAAAACTTGAGGGGGACGATATATTTAAGTACAGAGGAGTCGGGGAATACTCCCTGTTATTATAGCTCGTCGAGCTCGACAGAACCATAAAATCACGTCGTATTGACGATGAGCAAACGAAACTCATATTTGCTTAAACCCACTTGTCGGGACGTGCCAAGCCTTGGGCCTTAGGGATCGAAATGAGCGACTCATATCATTTTGAGTAGCTCGAATCCTTTAAGACTCAGCTCAAACAGACGTTTGAACTGCCACGGGCTGAGTCCAAGTCTCAATCAGAGCTCCTGAAACTCAAGCAGGGTAAGCGTGGTGTGCACGCTTACGCTCAACATATACGACTGCTCGCGAGTAGTGTAATTGCCAATCCGGTAAATGAACACACGTTGATTACTGTGTTCATGCGAAGGCTCTCAGAGGGACCCGTCAGGAATCACCTGTTCCGCTTAGAGTTGGATACGCTTGAATGAGCGATCTCAGCTGCGGAACAGGAGAAGTTTACCATGAGACAGGCTCATGCTAGCTCGAAATATTTCTCCACCAAGACGACAATAGACTGAAGGTTCAGAACCGATGGACCTCTGTTATGTTGAGAGCGAGAGACCTCGCGCTTTGGACAACAAACGATAGCAGGATTGAAATCGATGTCAGGAGTTGGGAAACTACGCTTACGAGTGTAATACCCACGCCCAGTACCAAACAGTACTGAGCGAAACGGTCGGCAATATGTCAAAAATGGCAATGGGTGTGAGTCCAACGCTGTTTTAAAACCGAAACAGCAAAGCGGACAATGAAAAAATGATTGGTGTCAGTAAGGGCTGAGCGACCTACTGATCCAGCAACCGCAAGAAAAATTGCAAATTTCTTGACGAAAGTTGCTCCAGATACACAATCATTGTGTGTCTCAACACCTGGTGATGACGTTTCGCTCATCACCTTGAAGTTGGAAGCGACAAATGATTTGTCACTTCGTGATCTAGTTGACTGTGGGGCGTCGAAAAACTTTGAATGTCGCCAGTCATCAAAGGGTCGTAGGCTCAGTAATTAAATGGTCTTAAGCCCAAGTTCGTTTCGTTGAGCGCTAGATCTCTCCAACGACGACGACGGTGCGCCTCACCACCAGGCGCATTGATAACCGCTTAAAAACGTGTAGTAGGAATCCACTACACGTTACAGGGCGAACAGCACGATGATGATTTCATCGTAATGGATCTGGATGACAAATTTGATGTCATCCTGGGATTACCTTGGCATCAAAGCTACGGGCTAAGGGTGAGCTGGCAGCATCGATCCGTGAAGATGCCTGCCACTTGTTCATCAGATGGCCATCTGATGAGCGCCTTGGAGCATACACAAGCGCGTGGATGTACTGCGAATGAGTGCGATGGCCTCACTTGCAGTACGGATGTTAGAACGACTGCACAAAACATCAATGTAGATGATCAATATACTCCGCAGAAAGCTCCCGGTGGCTGTACATAAGTACTGGCAGCGCCGAGGGTCCACCACTCGAATAAGTTGAGCGGATCGGGACATGCATGTATACCTAGCGGGCAACATCCGAAGAAGAACAAGCCGATGGTCCAGAATGGACAAAGCGGAAATCCTAGGTCGACTGGAGAGTCGACCGTAGAGGATTAGTACCTGATTGTGGTTGCACATTCACAGTCAGAGGACGTCGAGGAAATAAGTCCCCACGTACTTGAGGAAGAAATTCCATAAGAGTCACTTTCTGAGGGATAAGGCTACCAGCAACATGTGGAAACAAATTCCCAGTAAGAAACCGAGACGTTGAACGTCTTGGTCAATGACGGATCAAACGTAGGCGCTTATACGCTTGATCTGGTTGTGCCTCCGAAGTTGGCTTCGGAGATATTACAATTACCAACGCTAGAACCGAAACGGTTCGTACGTGATATGTGTCGTGACAAAGTCAAGCGGATCTGCATGCTCGTCAGAGAGGATGAGTATGTGACCGACATTCGGTTGGATACAGTAATTGCTAAGAACAAACGGGTTCTCAGCAGCTCATTGATGGACGACAGCGTCCTCGATAAGAAGACTGATTGAACGGTACACGTCTCAATCCTGGGGGGTCCGCTTCAATCAAATTATTTTTAAAAAATATTTGATATGATTCAGGTATTTATTCTTTGAATCAATGCCATGCAAATTGCCGAATATAAAAGGACTCGGCACGAGATCGAGCTCACACCGGTCTCTAAGTCATGTGTAATTAAGCAGTGACCACTGCTTCGTGAACAAGTACTAGCGACCTAAAAGTTACTTGCCGATCGCTATGCAGCGGGTCAACTGAGTGAATCAACTTCCCCTCATATCTCTCCAATATTCTGTGTGCAAAAGGCTACAGGATTATGGCGGATAGTGCACGCATTCAGCAAGATAGATGCTGCAACGGTACCGGCTCAGATTTCGATACCGAGAAAGATCGTAATCATAGATGGTAGGTCAAAGAGTACCATCTTCTCGTCCATGGGTCTGATGGATGGTTTCTATATGATCCTAATGCGTGAACAGGACATCCTGTAACGGGGTTACATGTCGACTGGTAGTCGACAA